GAGCCACTGAGCCAAACCGGTTTCGGCAAGAGCCTGCAGTTTAGATTGATAACGAATATGCATCCAATTTCCGGTATTAGACATCACATGTTTTAAGATATTCCCATATTGTGCAAATTGTAATAATATATAGGAAGCAGATGCCTGAGGAAACCCGAACACAGTTACCCATGTGTCATCGAGGTGATCTTCAGAAGCCAGAGAATCTCCTTGAGTATAAAAAGGATCCAACTGCACAGGAGATAACATTGTCTTTCGTGGTTGGCCAATGTTTGCGGGACTAAACATACTTTGCCCTGTTCCAGGAGTAGTTGTCATAACTCCAACAAGAGGACTCTGCATTACTGATATGTTTGGCTGTCTTCTTGAGGTTAAAGGTGTTGATCCAGGTCCTGGGCTAGAGATGTCATCATATATACTTCTAACTGGTGGAGCTCCACTTTTATCTTTATGAGCTGGTACAACTGGTTGTGGTGGTGACCCACCTGCAATTAAAGGTGATCTCATTTCCATTACTCCTACTGAAGGACCACTAATTGATCGAGGTTGTGGAGTCACTGGTGCTGGTAAATCCCCCATTAAAAATCCAGGTAAGAACTGGGCATTAACCCCTGGTTTTGGAGATGTGGGCGACCCCAGCATCATTGGTTCAGATCCCAACGTGGTTGCCTGGGGTTCCACGGCAAAGGCTGCCATCGCGGCGGCTACACTTCGCTCCGGACCCTCCCGATTTTCAAAAAATGGCTATTTGTAAATTTTTTAAACACAGATTTGTTGAGCTAGTGCTTAAGTAAGACTGAAACCAAATGCAGATGTTCTTACTGTCACTATTTTAATATTTATGGTTTGGGAGAATTTACCATCCCTTTAAAAGCTCATTTCCATGTTTTTTCTTAATCTTCGGGTTTCCCTGTTATTTTAAACAAGTGTGCCTATCTTGCAGAAAAATATTAATCTTTTTGGAATTTCCAGTTATATGTTTAAAACAAGTCTCACATTTCCTTTTAGCTTTCCTTAGACTTCCATCGTTAGCTTATTCAATAATTCCTTCTATGACATGTGTAATGCGTGCATGGCTCTACTCTCCAATTGCACTCAACTAAAGATGCTTGGTTACCTTTTGAAGACCTCAGGTAAAAGGACCAATCCTGCACTTCTGAGAGTTTACTCATAGCTTGGACCATTTCTTCATGCTAACTTTGCGTCTTTGTGCATGACCTATCCAGGTCTAGTTGCTCATCCCTGGCTTCCCTAAATTTCATCAGCATTACATCCATCTTGATCAAACACACCAAAATGGTGGTTTTCAAGTAACAAATACATTTTAAAATAAAAAAAAAAAAAAAACAAAACAAAAAAACAACAACAACCCAGCCACTCTGAGCATGTGGAATGTTCAGCAAGCTCATAAAAGTAAAAAAAAAAAAAAAAAAAAAAAAAAAAAAATCACAGGGGACTATAAAGTACTATGTGATAAAGGAGATCTAATCTAGTCGCTTCCCACCAGGAAAGTCTCCCATGTCATAGTAATAATGGGGAAATGCAAAAACAAGCATCAATATCATTGTTAGCAATTAGATTCACACAATTTAAAAAGTTGGCCAATAGCAAGTATATCTGAGAATGTGAAGTCAAAAATGCTCTACTTCTCATTGAGGTATAAATTGGCAAATCCGTGTTACAGAACAATTTGGCAATATCTAGTAAAGGCAAAAGGCAAAAATAGGCTGATGCTATGGCCTAGCATCTCTAAGGTGTATATAGAGACATGCTCAAATATATGCACAAAGAGATCCATAAACAATATATTAGCATATTTCTTCAAAACAACAGCAACAAAAAAAACCAATCAGTAAAACAACAACAAAACTAGAACCAGCTTAATGTTGAAGATAGAATGAATTTTAAAATGTGGTACATCTATATACTGAGGTACTACACAGAAATGAAAATGAATGAATCTGATTATATAACATAGATGTGTTAAGATTCTTACAAATATAATTTTGAATATAAAAATAAATTGTAACCATAGCCAGTTAGGGACAGTGGATAGAGTGTCAGCCTATAAACTTAAGGGTCCAGGGTTTGATTCCGGTCAAGGACACATGCTCGATTTATGGGCTCAAACCCCGGTAGGGGGTGTGCAGGAGGCAGCAGATCAATAATTATCCCTCATCATTGATGTTTCTATCTCTCCCTCTCCCTCTAAAAAATATAACAATACATTAGAAAGATAAATTGTAGAAGAATATTTATTAAAGTTTGAAAACAGAATTATTTCTATATTTTGTGTAGAGAGACAACATGTGTAGAAAATATATACAGTAAAACATGAACTACTTATATAAAAACCATGGGTGGTGTTCATCATGACCACAACTGCCGCTGCCGCGACCAAGCAGAAGGAAGTCAGTCCTGCAGGGGTTGTCTTGGCAACAGCTGTGGCCCCCCCCCCCCCCCTGTCTCCCAGAGCTTTTTCCTGTAAGGGCAGGGTTTGCGGCAGGAACCCCCCTGGGAGCATGGAGGCATTATCTTTATAAAGTGTGCCACACCAGCTCAGGCAAGGATGAACCTGAGTGGGGGCGGCTGAAAGGTTTAGAAAAGACAGACAAGAGAATGAAAGCCGGGTCTTGGTGGGACACTGCTTCTCTGAGAGACAGTGACCATGCCCACAACCATGCCTTTATTTTATAGCAGATGCTGCGAGGCAAAGTAAGGGCGTGACCAAGATGTTTACAACATTCTCCTGGGTTTCAATAATACTCAACTACATGCACCTGAACTCTATCAAGCGTACATCACTCAGGCACATGGGGCCATGTGCTCTGACTTACATAGGATCAAGCTTACAACTACAGCTGTTGGCTATAATTGTGCTGTGAGGGCCCTGCCCTCCAAGCTGGGACTTGCACGTGGCCATGAGAGGACTGTGCCCTCTCATCAGTCTGAGGCTTGAACCTGTCCAAACCCTGTAGCCACTCTCCACATTAAACTATGGCCAAGAGACTCGGAGTTTGAAAACCAACATAAATA